AGAAATCTTTTTTTTTCAATAATTAATCCGTCGGAAATCCGTCGGTAAATTTGCCGTCGGAAATCCGTCGGTCACCACTGTCGTCGGAAATCCGTCGGTAAATTTTTCTGTCGGAAGTCCGTCGGATTCCAATTGCCGACGGACTTCCGACGGAGTTTCGACGGATTCCGGTTATCTCTTTTCCGTCGGAAATCCGTCAGGTTTTTCCGACGGATTTCCGACGGATATTTATTTCCGACGAGATAGAACCGACGGACCAAAACCGTCGGAAATCCCTCGGAATATGGGTTATTCCGACGGATTTCCGACGGTTTTGGCCGTCGGAAACGACCCTGTTTTCTTGTAGTGTAAGCTGATTGAGAAAACTTTTCTTGAAACAAAAGGTTTCAAATCTAATGGCTCAAAAATGACTATGGCTGAATTGGGCCAAAACACGCAGCCCATTAAGAAGTCTAAAACTGATGTAAAGACAGAAGCCCAACAACTCTCCTCTTCACCTTCGAGTTCATCATCAAGTCACGACAAAGGCAAAATTACAGAGCAAGGAGGAACAAAGGAGATAACAGCAAGGCGTACGAATGGTCAATTGACCTTATCCAACAGATACGCGGCTTTGAGCAAGACTACTGTCGATTGCTGACAACTGTCATAAGTTCTAGAGCATTCCTTTGTAACCCTAAATCTCTCTTGAGTATAAAATGGGTTCAAGCATCATTGTATCGAACAAGTAAGAAATGAATCAATAAAATTTTTCTTCTTCAAATTTCAGTCTTTAGATGTTTTCTTGCAGATGGTTTAAAGGTTCTTTCGGGATCCCGGATGAAAGGGATTCTTTTTGCAGGGTGCTTCATGGATCGTTGATGTTGTCTCTCTTTCATTGGCTTCCTGTTTCATTTTTTCGCACGGATAGTTTAGGTTCTTTATCGCTACTTTCTCGAGGTTTTGTAACTTTATAGCAGTGAATCCCGAATGTGTATTGATTGAGTCTTGGTTCATTATTTTTATCATTTTTTTTGCCATTGAACCATGTTTTATAGGTTTACTAATCTGTTTCAGCAACAATTTGTAATCCTGAACTTTTATTTTCATTTATGATATTTATAATTTAGCCAAAAAAAAATTATACGTGTAAGAATATTTTTTTGCAGAAACGTGAAAGTTATGTACACTTTTTTTTAAAAGA